CTTCCAAATATCCTAGTAGAACAATGTCGAATCATATTTGATACTTTGTCGGAGTTGTTTCGTGGCATGACTTTCCATTGAAATTATTCAAACCATACTCGAGTAGACGAAAGGAAATAAAAAGAAAATTTGCATATAAAAAATTTCATATAGAATATAAAAAAAAGAGAGGAAGTGTAGTAGAAGCAAAATAAAAATGAATATAACAACTAGATGTTGCAAGGATAATTACTAATGTTCAATACGTAACGCAAAATTCGAACGGTGATCGCAAGAGAAAGCACGAACAGAAATAATGTCTATCAGTTCTCGCACACATAGGACGAGACGTTGTTAAAAAAAAAAAAAAAAATGAAAAATAGAAAGCGGAGAGAGACTTTTTAGCGAAAAAGTTAGAAGGAAGCATAAAGAAATGAAAGCAAAGTAGAAGGGAAAGAAAGAGATATGATAAAATAGACAAGTTACTAATAAGTGTAATAAAAGTGTAAAGAGAAGGAAGTAGCATATGAAAATAATGTTAAAAGATGATTGATTTATTGTGGAGATACAGACCATCCTCACCTGGTAAACTTCCCTTGGCGCGGACCCCCCCACGAGCGGACAGCCGCTGGACCCCACGAGCCCCTGAAGTTGCGGGGTTGCGTCCCCCCCTGACTGGCCCACGGACTTGGGGGCCACCGACTCGGCCACGCGGCACTACTCCACGGCCACGTCCAGCCTGACCAAATAACACAACACCCAATCGTTACCCTATATGATATTTCTTACATTCCTAATATAGATTTGCGTATATACGATTATCTATGATACTTTACTTTTATACTTTTCGCGGGCTTGGACAACACAATCGTGCGTCCTCACGGACGCTTTCTTTCTACCGACCCCCTTTCTCTTTTCTAACTATATTTAACAATTGACATCCTATGTATTATATCGACCGACGTATCAACTCTTTGTTCATACAGATAATACCTAAACACCTGATTCTATAGTTCTTTAAACACACGAATTAAACAACTTCTTGTAATTCATCGTATGAATTTACTTTCAATACAATACAAGCTTCATCAATTGAATTTCACTTTAGGATCAATATGCTGTTATATGTACATTTTATGCCCTCTATAAATATATTCATACACGTATTATATACAAAAAAAAAGACGTACACGTACACGTACAAATTAACATGTATATGTATATACTCATACAAAATAGTTATGCTAAAGACATGTATGTGTGTACGTACGTGCGCGCAAGCATCTATTTATTTATACGTATATTATACGTATATGCATACGTATATACATGCAAATAATACATACAAAATGATGCGCGCGCCTATATGTGTACGTGTGGGTAACTGGGTGGGCGGATAAAGTGATTGGAGATGGATGTGCATAATGGTCGATAGCAAAGATTGGTGGAAGATATGATATGCGTTGCATAAAAAGCGGAGGGGAAATAGAGAAGGACACGATTAGAATGGTTTAGGAAAAGAACTTGGTAGGATAATAAGGTAGTTATATATATACATATCTATACATATATACATATATACATATCTATACATATATACATATATATATACATATATACATATCCATACACATATACATATATGTATGTGTGTGTGCGTGTGTGTGTATATATATATATACAGATTAGCGAAATATACACAGCGACAGAACGATGCAACGGATGTAGGGATCACCTAAAACCAAATCTTACTAACCACATTTTTTTACAGACAGCAGTAGTATTAGCAGAATTATCCAATGCAGTAAAGCGGAAAGCTTATTGTATTGGGATGGCGAAGGAACTTTAAGCGACACAACATACTGCACTGTCAGCTAGAACAAAATTCAACAAATCAAAATTTAAATAGTATAAGCAACGCAACATCACACAGCAGGGTATTGTTTAAGCATAAGCAGTATTTTATATATATATATATATATATATGTATATATATATATATAAAAATATATACATCGAAGCAAGCAACAAACATCAAGAGTATTTCAGTATCGATGCTAGAAATTACTTGCAGGGACTAGCACAAATCTCATTGTCGTTTCTTTTCTTGTTTCTTTTCTTTTCATTCTGTACTTTTAATTTATTTCTCGTTTCTATTCTGTAAACTGACCGTGTGAAACTAATTTGACATAGAACAATACTATCCAAACGCATGTACATAAATGCACAACCACGCACAATCATGTATATACGCACGAATTATCATAGTACAACTTTTCTATAAATCAAGCCAGTCTCAAGTTATGGGATCTAATTTCATATATATTTTTACGCAATTTTTTTCTCCAGGCATCGCCAACTTACAAAATTGTTTCATCAAAAAATGATAACTCTTTTTTCCAAACATATTCACATTTACAATCCTAAATAATATCACTTAATTTATACGAACAATATGTGATTAAATGTTTTCATTTAATGAAATTAAATGAAAACATTTCAACAAAATGTGAAAAATGTTTTCATTAAATTCACAGATACATTACTTCATCGATATAATTAAAGAAATTACTAAATTGAAGGAAAAATATATAATAATACTTGTTTGGGTGATCTAATGAAATATCTTGAATTAACTATTATCTGTTTTATTACTAGTTAAAAACATTTCTCCACCTCCATTTTCGGCGATACTGAATAAAGCTAACATTATAATCAATATCAAAAGACTAGATATAATTGAAGATATCACATTATGTACGAGAGGAAATAATTTAAACAAAGTGGAAACTATTTCAATTTTAATAGTATCTTGAATGATCAATCCTAATATGACTAATATAATTAGGAAATAAATCGTCAACGACGAAGAAGATAATTCAAAAAAAATATTCTGTGCCAACAAATCTATACAACTAACATGTAGACACTACATTTGCTGAAATAATCTGAATCTCATATGTGAATTGAAAATAACAGTACTGGAGAAACCTCATCAATGTGGTGTTTGATTGGTGGTGGTTGAGTCACTAATCAACCAGTATGTGAATTATTTTATCTATTTATTTATTGATTTATCTATCTATCTATCTATCTATTTATCATTTTATTTATTTATCCAACCATCTTGATCATTTTTCTCGTATTTACCTATATGTCGTCTATTTATTTATCTATTTCCCTATATACTTTCCTACTTACTTACCTACTTACTTACTCATACATCTATCTATTATACTGAACAATTTAATTACATGTCCAATAATTAAACAATGAAATAATTGATCAGTTTGTCAAAATTAATATAATGATGATACAGCTGTAATAATGTTCACAGACTATCTAATATTTCCTTATTTGGACACCCTGCAACTTGTTATATACAATACGTATACATATAAATGTACAAGTACATATATATATATATATA